CCCTTTTGGCTGCCTTGTTAATAAAATTTGATTTTTATTTTCTTTTGTTTTTGCTTTGGGCTGTAGGTTTCCATTTTTGCTGGTAGATAGAGTGGTCGAGTACAATCCTGGGGTGTCGGCTGTGGCTATTAAGAATGTGACTATAAATGATAATTTCTTCCCTGGGCATTTCCCTGAGAGGCCAATTATGCCAGGTGTGCTCATGGTTGAGGTAAATAAATCAACTTGTTTTATCTATAAATAGTTGGCTTGCAGGGCAGAACCAGAAATTTATGTGGCGTCGTAATTTAACTGAAAGTAAATTTTTTTAAAACAAGTTAATTATTATTAAAAATTCTATAATGTATAATGTATTATACATTAGAATCGTTCCATGTGTTTTTTTTATACTTTGAAAACTCTCTCAGTATACATTGACCAAACTTACTTTCTTTTTTCTGATTTGAGATTCCTTTTGTTGATTGCAACATCCTTTGTTGCCCATTATTTGGTTTAATAGGGTAACAGGATAAGAAAAATGACGCATCTTTTATTGGTTTTGATCACAGCAAAGATCTCTCACTAGATTTGGTTAGAAGAATGACAAGGTTTATCAAAATTGATATAACCTAAAAAGATTTGTCCCATTAAATCTTTCAATAAATATGTTGATGGATCAACATAGATTTATGGAGCAAATACTAAATTCTAACATTAATGAAAATAAAATATAAATTAACTTGACAAAAATGATTCATGTTATAAAGTTTAAATGATAAAAATAGAATTTCATTTCGTTATGTATACAGAACTAACATGCATCTTAGTTTTGATAGATTATCTAGAACGAAAGTCAGGGTGATAGAGACTCAGATAAATAGTAATAGCCTGGATTGGTGGCCTGCTGGCCAGAATTTGATACCATCTTCTAAACTGAGTAGAAGTGATTGCTAGGAGTTTTCACTGCAAAACTTATGGCAGTCATCTATAAAATTGTTCATTTTCAAGACTACGTGTCACCAGCTGCACATATCACATCACTATTCCAATATTAAAGAAGTCTATGTGAGAATCGGGCTTGAAAATTCATTGATATGTAGTGTTGTATTTGCTATCTTGAGTTGTGAATAAGTAAGCAAGAACATCCATTGGAGGTGAATTAGGCGCTAGGTAAAAATAAAGCTTTGTACTGGAAATATTGCTATAATTCCCACTCTGATAAAACCCCAACCAAAGAAGTGTGAAGCTTTTGAAGGCTATGGGATTGGTGGTAGAATTTAGTTCCAATGTTGAGTTTGCAATTTTTAACTTTAATTTACTTAATGCCTAATAGCTCTAGGGGATCCTCATAAATTAGGTAGCATGGGCTCATACTGCTTTTTATTTTTTCCCTACATGTAAACCATGTTATGTTACTTGTTCTTATTTGACTTCATTAATCATCTGTTTTCCTTTTCCATACCACTGGCCTTTTTGTTGATAATTTTACAAATGAAAATTGGTTCTTCAGAGAGTTCCCACCTATAGCAAAATGGTTTCTTTTGTTTGGTGTTTGGAAATAATTGAGGTCCATTATTGCTTCTTTATTAACCTACCACTTGCTGTTTTTATATGCCAGTATGTTCCTATATGCCCACTTTTCTCAAAAGCTTGAATTTGCAAAATTAGTGACTTAAGTGTTACTGCTGGATTTAGGCAATGGCTCAGGTTGGTGGCTTGGTTATGCTGCAACCGGAAGTGGGAGGCTCGAAGGAAAATTTCTTCTTTGCTGGAATTGACAAAGTAAGATTTAGAAAGCCAGTTGTCGCAGGAGACACCCTAGTTATGAGAATGACACTTGTCAAGCTGCAGAAACGCTTTGGAATAGCGAAGATGGAAGGAAAAGCATATGTTGGCGGGGAAGTGGTCTGCGACGGTGAATTTTTGATGGCTATGGGCAGTGAATGATTACTTTTAATCTCTCATTGTCTCTTTCTGATGTGTTGCGCAAACCTTTTCCCTCTTTTTTCATTTCTCTTCCGTTGGTGAGTTATTTACGAATATTTTTCTTAGACTGAATGACTTGTAAGCATGTTTCATGGTTGAAAATTAAATAACCATACTTTTAAGTCGCATATTTTATAAATATGATTTTGAAGTTATTAT